ATCCCTTTCCCCGCCCCGGCTGTATTTCACTTTTAGCACTTATTACTGCCAGACACATTTTCACTCCTTCTGATTCGTCTCCTTTCTGTCCCTCGGTCGCACGCCACCTTTCCCCAGGGCAGGGCCTTTGGGCCATTCGCAAGCTCTGTCGGCAGGCCCTTCCAAAGGATGGTTCGTGGAGGGAGGGGGAGGGAGATCTCTGTGGGTCCAGAGGGCAGAAAGACCCGAGGGCCTTTGGGGGAGGCAAAACTGAGGTTCTCTCGAGCCACGCCCACCTCTGTCGCTCCAGGCCCCGCTCCGAGCCCCTTACCCCGGTAGCGCTGCCTCGGGTCCAGGGCCAGCTGCACGGCCAGCTCCAGGCCTAGGCCCGAGGAGCAGCCGGAGATGAGCACGGTCCGCGCCGCCCCGGCCATGGTGATCGCTCTCCCCCGGCGCGTGACTGCGGGGCAGCGCCTGCCTCCCGCTTCCGCAACCCGGTATTCTCCCCCGCCCCACGTTCCCCCCTCCCAGGCGCGCAATCCGCGCCCCAGTGCGCTCCGGCTGCGCGCGGGCAGGGCGAAGGGATCCCTCTGCGCAAGCAGTTAGGGGCGTCCCTTTTCTTCTGCATTACCTCCCTTTCCTTCCTCTGCCACCTTTTTTCTCCCCACCTGCAACGTTGGATCCGGGGGCTTTTAATGATGACAGCCAGTTATTCAGGACTGGGGCGAGTTTCCGGGGCTCAGGGCGAGGGAAGCACCCGGTCTCTACTCCCAAAGGAGGGAAGGAAAGAAGCTGACAGAGGGTGGTCCTAGGGGGGGTTGGCAGAGGGGGGCTTTCAAAGAGAGGAGGAACGAAGTAGCGCTGTCAGTCAGGGATGAGGTTAGACTAAAGGAAGAACTTCCCTGCGGTGCAGGGCAGGGAGCATTTTAGGAGGCGTCCCAGCCTGGGAAGTTCCCAGGAAGGGAGAAGAGTTTGTTTGGGGGAGGTTCCTTCTCCTCCCCACTGGGGACCCCCCACCTCCCCCTCCGGCCAGATGAGGCCTCACCCTCTCTTCTCCAGGGACACAGAAACTCTTTGTCTAAGGAGCTAGAGTCTGGGAGGGAGGTATTGCCCGCGTCTCCCCTCTCCCCCCATTGGGGCGGGTGCAGTTCAGGGCCCGGGACACGCCCGTATCCCTCCTCCCCACCCCCTGCACCCCGCCTGCGTGTCTGCGCCTGTTCAATTGTACAGACGGCGCCACTTGACCCCCTGGGGCTCTCCACACGGGGCGGAGGGGGGGGGTCCCAGCAGGGTAAGGGAGTGGTTCTGCCACACCTCAGGGGCAGTGGCCTGTTTGGGGAAAGGTCCAGACTCCCCTCGATGTTGGGGAACACGTGTTACGATTTGGAAATAGGGCCAGACACCCATCCAGGGCCTGAATGGGGGGCAGATCAGGGCTGGGGGTGATTTGAGGGTCCAGAGTTTGGGGTGACCGTGGAAAATGTGTTCTGAAATCGGTCATGAAGGATTAGGGATGAGGTCAGGATGGCCAATTGTGTAATTTGGGTGGGGAGACGAGGGCTTCGGTTAAGACTGGGGACCCCAGTGAGCGATTTGGGGTGAGTTTAGAGGTGAGATGGCGGGTGGGGGTGGGGAGACAGGGTAGCGTTGGGGTGAGATTGGTACCTCTTATTGTGGGGCTCTTCGTCTGGGGTAAGCCGGACGGGTAAGAGTTCGGGGTGAGCCTGGAGCCCCCTTTGGGGTCCGGGTGAGACCAATGAGTTGGTATAAAGCTGTATTTCTATCGGCTGAAGGTTTGAATGAGGCTCAATCCTTCTTTGAGGGGGGTGAGCTCAAAGGGCTTGGGGCTAAGTCTGGGACCCTCGAAATCTAGAGTTGAATGGGAGCTGTCTTCCTCCTCCCCAACGGGTGGGGCAAGGACCGCCCAGCTCCTGGTCCCGGGCGCCTCCCCAGCTGGCCAATCAGAGCGTAGCACAAACTTTTCCCAACTCCCTCTCCCGCTGTCCGTCGCA